TAGCAGCTCTAGCACTGCACTCATGTACACAACACTTCCCCGACATACACATAATAATAAAATAAAATCTCTTTTAAAAATTGGGAGGTGGGTAGGCTGCAGAGATGGCTCAGTACTTAAGAGCACTGGCTGTTCTTGCAGACGACATAGGTGTGGTTCCCAGATAGCAGCTAATAACTGTTGCTAACATACTGTACATAAATGTATTTATACACATGGAGGTAAAACACTCATACACATTAAAAACGTTCAGGGAGGGGTAGGGTGGTGTAGGCACTCCAAGCAAAAGCAGGTGGATCTCTGTGAGTTCTAGGCCAGCCTGGTCTACATAGTATCAGGCCAGAAGGGGCTACAGGGAAACCCTGTCTCAAAAAGACCAAAAACAAGTTCAGAGGAGCTAATACTCCTTTCTAATGTAATAGTCTTCCTTTCTAATCTGTAAGTACAAACTGGAGGAGATTGCCTAAAGCCTCTCTAAATCAACAATCCAAAATTGTTTCAAGAAAGGTTACTTACATGACTAGCAGCATTTCTTAAGGATGCAATAGTATTTTCCTGCACTTTAGCCAGCCTGAAATAGAGAAGAACTATAGTTACCATGGATTAAAGAAAAGAAACAAATGCAGGTAAAGGAAAAAGGCTGCTCCAGTCGCTCTGCTTCGCTGTCTACCGGCTACTGCTGCTACTCCTCTGCTTTTGCTTGCTATATAATAAACTCATTCATTCAGAACTAAAAAAGTCACACTGAGGATAAACCTTCCATTTTATAGATGAGGAAACACACCCAGAAAAGGCACCAAGGAACGGAAGTTAGCAGAGAGGCCAACAAGGCTTTCTGCAGTCCGCGTTCCTTCCTGGCTTTCTCCTTCTGTATCCAGTACGTTAAAACAAGTGGCCTTACCATGCGATCTACTGAGTAATAATCCTACACAGCATTCAACCTACTGGGCAGTTGTGGTTGAGTTCCCTGCACCTCGGTGTCCAACATCCAATGGTATTCTTGGCTTCCAATACTTGGAAAATGAAGACTCCATGGAACAATTGTATCCTGGCAATGGCTTGATGATGATAAAATCAACTTTCATAGAGAAGAAAAAATAAGGGGGCGGGGGAAGACAAATTATTTAAAAGGATATAAGCTGAGCAGCAACTGAATTTAAACCAGCTTTGTTAATCTCAAAAAGAAATAATGGAGGCAAAATTGACTCAGAGCAGGTCCAAAAAATTCAATAGGTGTGTTACTTAAGTTGTTGTTGCACTGCTAATAACCAAAGTAAGCTGTCAATTTACTTCACCAGTTTCAAATACAGAGTGTAAACTAATGAAAGGTTCAACATGATCTTACTTTGGCTATGAGGGCCAATCTGCTTACCTCTCACTCTGCCTATTGTTTTTCTGGAATTTCTGCTCATGATGGGAAGTGTAAGGACGCCAGCACTTCTCCCACTCTCAGCAATGGTAGACGACAAGAGGCATGCCGTACCCACGTGTCCAGGAAGAGCATCGCCCTGAACCACGTGTTCACTGAGATCTTCCTAAAAAACGAGGTTTAGAATACCCTAAAGTTTTTACATTAATGTGTGTATATATGTGCAGGGACTCAGGGAGGGCAGTGGGGGCCCTTATGCCATGCCATGCATCTGCAGAGGTCAGAGGATAACTTATAGGAGTTCATTCTACCATGTGGATCCTGGGGTGTGAACTCAGGTCATCAGGCTAGGCAGCACGTGCCCTTACCCACCATCTAACTAAGACCTGTTTGGATTTTTTAAAGATTTATGTATGTGTACGTCTGTATTACAGTTACATGTACATAAGTGCAGGCGCCTATGGTGCACAGAAGAGGGTGTTTGATCCCCTGGAACTTCCGTTACAGGTGGTTGTGAGCTGACCTGGAAGCTGAGAACTGAACTCAGATCAACCACAAGAGCAGCAAAGGCTTTTAACCACTGAGCCACCACTCCAGGGCAGTCCTTACCCACAAATTTTTAAACACTGTCAATTTAAAAGCTCTGGGTTGAACCAGAGCACCCAACAAAACCAGTTGTGGGAGTGTCTATACTCCCAGCACTAGAGAGGTAGAGGCAGGAGGATCAGGATCAGTTAAAGTTCATCTTCAACTACTATAATTTATATATATATATATATATATATATATATATATAATTTTCCCCTAAGCATAGTAACCCCAGCA